CAGAGCGATGCTCTCTCCTCTCTCCTCTCCCCTCTCTCCTCTCTCTCTCCTTTCTCCTCTCTCTCCTCTCTCTCCTCTCTCTCTCCTCTCCTCTCCCTTTTTCCTCTGTCTTACAATAATCATGTTGTCTTCTACTTAAACGATGCTTGTTGCACCTTTTCCAGTTGCAGCAATTTCTTTTGTAATCTGGAGTTTTTACAGAGGCCGAGAAAATTAGACCTAACAATTGCAATTGACTGATGTATTACCACTAAGGCTGCATGAAGAATTGTTTTTTCCCCTCTGGTTATGAGSTTAGAAAAAAGAAAACCAAATAAGATTTTGGTTTGGATTGAAATAAATCTAGACTTTTTAACATTTTTCTTCACCCCAAAGAAGAATGAAAACTCCCAAAATTACATTTTATCTTGAATGAAACATTCTGTAATTCTGTGTGAAAATGAAACATTTATTTTCCCAAGCATTTGCAAGAAAAGCAAAGGAAATGAAAGGATAGATTCACAAAACTGAAAAATGACATGGAGGAGTCAGATACTTTTAACTTATTGCCAGAGAACTGTTCTGTTTTGTCACTTTTCAACTTTTTTTCAAAACAGAAATGAGCTCAGAGGTCTGTTCCAATTTGCAGGCTATCTACACCTCCTCCTATATCTTTTTCCCTTGCAGATCTTAAAAAACATTCAACAAAAAGTAGACCAGAGGGCAGCACCTTGAGTCCCATCCTGTTCTGAAGCACAGCAGTGGTAAAGACAGAGGGTGAGTTCACACACACCTTCTTTGCATGGCACAGCTTTTAACCACCCCTGACATGTACTCAGGCTCACTCTGCCTGTGCTACCCTGGAGCACAAAGCAGTGAATTTTTAGTCAGATCTCTGTAGCAAACATCCAAACCATCAGGTTTTAATGGGGCTCCTTCRGTTACTTCTGCTGAAGTTCTTCTAATCTTTTTTTTTTTTAGATTTTTAGGAACTGAGACAACCAGAGCAAGAGAATGTGACTCCTTGCCCCGGGGGGTGGGTTGCTCAACTGGAAGGTGAGAAACCTGCAGTTCAGGGTTTWAAAAAAGTTACCAATTACTAGTGAAACAAGACAGCAGGACAGACTGAGGCACATGCCCTGCCCTGAAAATGAAAAAGTTGAAATCATGGGTGAACTTCTGGGAGGTGAGAGCCTTTGGTTACATCTCCTCTGGCAGAAGAAGGTAACCAGTGTTTTCTCACATGCAGCTGTGTTTTCCCACAGGTGTAATATTAGGTAAAAGTRTACTACAACTCTTGCTCTCCTGAGCTTGCCTTTTTAACTTATCTCAAGTTTTGGTGAGGTTGACCAAACTGCCCTTTGTTACATATGTTACATGGCAGGTATCCCWCCAAATAAAAAATGTCCTTGAACATGTGTGAATTTACAGTGCAAATCCAGAGACAAAAGTGGGCTGAAATAAGCCTTTAAGGTGAAATTCACCTTTCCTTTCAGAAAGCTCTAGAAATTGAGACTATACATGGCATTTCTCTCAACACAAATAGAATTATAGCAGAGTAGTCTATAGAAAACAAATACATTTGAATTGTGGATTTTATAGGGTAGATACCATATCTTCTAGGTATGGTTTTGTATTTGGACTAAGCCCTTGAACGAAMAATCTCTGCTGAAGTTGCCTGTAGCAAGTTCAGTTTGGTTGTCTGTAGAGAGAATATTAAAGAAGAGKAAGAGGAAACAGTTGCTTCAAACTGCTTTATCTGTGAGGATGAGCTGAGAGAGGCCTGGTTTAGCCTTGAAGAAGTTTTCCTGTTTCTGTGGTAGCAAATTCATGAACATGGAACCTTCCTGTGTTCTTCTGACACAGGCAAGGCAAAAGGCTGAGACCAAGCCAATTGCTCTGTGTGGAATCAAGTTATTCATCTCTTAGACCRTGGAAGCTTGCAGTCTATTTCCAATTTTCCAATTCACTGCATTTTTGTAGAAAATGGCACCTGTGTATGTGGCTTTGTATATGCAGATAAAGAACTTTTGTTGGCAGCCTCAACTTATGCTCAGAAAGTCTATTTAAACTGAGCAAGCTGCATTAATAGCAGTCAAGTRTTAGCGTTCATAGCTTGAGCGTAAGCAAAGGGAGAGAGTGAAAAATGAGAATTTTTTCTTTCCAATTCTTTACTAGAGATAGAAAATTAAAAGTAATTTTGAAAAAGTGAGAAAGTTTCATTTTTGTCTATGAAATGTCAGAAAAAATAGACAAAAATGAAAAGGGAGAAGCAAGCTCTGACCCAAATGTTCCATGCAAGGTCTCCACTGAATTTTCATTTGAGTAGCTGAATTGAGGACACTGAAATAGACTCTTTCTATATTGGTGACACCTAAGTCACCAATAGTTTGTATTTGTACTTATCTGGTTTTGAAGAACTCAACAGCAGGRCTTTTTTTGTGGCATTAAAATACAAAATTTCAGTTTATTTCAGAACAGAAGAAAGAAAGAAGAGAATAAAGAACAAAATGGTCTTTTCTTCTTTTTACCACAGTGGCTGAGTAAGTAGATACATATAATTTATGTTTTATATAGTATATATGTATACAAAATRTGAACATTTGTGCTAAAAGTCACGTACCCATTTGTGATTATACTACAAAACCAAAAATAATTTAGGATYGATTAAAAACTTTCATTTGATTCCAAGTCAGATATTCAATTTTCTTTGTGTGATTTTAAACTTTTTTTTAAGCCCCTTCAAAGTAATTGGACAACTTTAAAGTAAAAATGGCATTTTAAAACAAGAAAGGGAAAGAATACTGAACATATAAAATGAAACACTTTGGCCTGTCATTCACCCTTCTAAGATCTCACTGTCAAAACTGTTCATTTAATTTCGCTGCCCCCTTGCAAAAAGTGTTTTCCAGCATGTAAAATACTCACTGAGGATGAATAACCTAAYCTACCCTAGAGACCTCACTCTGCCCTCCTTTCTCTAGTTTGCACATGTTTTATTTGCCATTATTTGCATGCTCAAATAACTGCCCCGATGTTCACTYACCCACTGAGCTGTGCACAGAAGTGCACAAGGCACACGCTTTGGAAGTTTAAGCAGAAAATTCTATGCTAACAACACTCTATGACTGCTGCAGAATTTRAACAGCTGCCCTAAGAAATTTCCAAAAGTGCAGTGAGCAGTGTTCCTTTGAGCTCTAGTAATGCCATGTTATCCTGCCTCCTGTGGGCCTTTCTTTTCTGCCTCCTCATGGTCAGCCACGCGGGTGCTGCTGGATCTGCTGAACGTCAAGAGGAGGGCTGTGTGCTTGTGGAGGAAATTGGATTATTTTTTGCACATTTGCATGCTTGTTTTGCTTTCTTCTGTCAAAAACATCTTTTACCTGAGAAAGAAGGAGTTAATAAAAATAGGCTTTCTGCTCTTGAAATGTCAGCCACAGCTTCTCATCACCCCATGAAAAGCCCTCTTGTTTCCTTGCTCAGCTCCTCCTGAACTTCAAACAGTCCTGTAATCCTTTTGACCTTAGAAGGTCAAAGATATATAAAAAGTATCATTCTTTGTGTAAAAGCACATTAATCATTCTTACCTAGCTCTTTATTCTCTTTTGAGGGCCCTGTGATATTTTAATTAATGAAMCACCTTCTAGCATTAACATGCATAATTTCAACTCTTTTCTTAAGCAGGTAAAAGAGTAGAAATCCTCTCTGTCCCTGCTTTTGTGACTCCCTGAGAGCAGGCATCTAATTTATTTTCTCGATTAATTTAATTGCATCATTTAAAACATTAATATTCACTCAAAATGCACATGCATATGTCCCATTGTACTATAAATATTGTTTAATTAAAGAGTGGAAGCAGATTTTTAACTATGCTGCTGACAATTTCTATGAATTTGGCAGGACTTGAAAGTCCTAGGTCTAAATTCTAATGTCAATGCAAATCTGGAGTTTAATTTAGGTCAATGAGAAAACCCTCTGGACTTTCAGCTGAAGACAGAGTTTGTTTTCCTTGAGGAGTTGTATCCTGCAGAGWAGGGGGAAAGGGAATAGGCAAAATGAAAACCCTCTAAAAATGAAGCAGCTTCAGACAAACTTAATTAACTGAGTGGAGCCTGCCAAAGGTCAGGGCGAGATCACTGCGGGAAATGCAAGTGTGAGACTGAAACACTGGCAACGGGAGGGTGAGGGCACAGGCAGGGATGAGCCTTTCAGGCAGGGATGAGCCTTTCAGGCAGGGATGAGCCTTTCAGGCAGAAATGAACCTTTCAGGCAGGCATGGCTCCGTGCTGGAAGAGCCAAGCCACCCGTGGGGGAGGTGAGTGTGGCTCTCGGGGAAGAACTCCTGCCTGCCTAGGTCCTGCCCCGATCTGACAAGCAGCTCGATGTGTGCTGATGCCAAAAGGCAGCAATTGCCACGGAACAAAATAACACATCACTGCTGTGGTTATGCACATCCTCCATGCACTCCTGCAGCAGGCCCTCAGTTCAGAGCAGGTGGAGGAATGGGCTGGATGGAGGAAGCTGGGGAGAACTGGACTGGCACTGGAGCTGTTTTCAACTTCACTTGTGCTTTCCCAGCTACCCATGCTTGATGCTCTTGGAGGAGTAGCTCTTTTGAACTGAAATATGTGTTCACTAGTACTTTAGATT